ATGATTTCTGAAGAAGAGTCCAGACCCGAAACGTCAGCTTTCCTGCTCCTCTGATGCTGCTTGGCCTGCTGTGTTCATCCAGCCCTACACCTTGTTATCTCAATTTCTCCAGCATCAGCAGTTCCTGCTAGCTCTAGTTCTTGACTTTCCCCACGAGAGAAGACATCCTCTCAGAATCTGTCCTGTCAAATCCACTCACCATCTTCTGTTTCAATAAAATCACCTCTCATTATTCTGAACTCCAATGAGTCCAGAACCAGCCTTAATCTTATAATCTTTCCCAGTTAGACAACCCTGGGATACTGTCCCCAACCCTAGAAAAGTTAAATAAACATTCTTTTTTTCCTGTCTCTTAACCCTAAATTTCTCTGTTTTACTTTCTTTACAGGATTGAAATCTCAGAATGTGATAGATTAGAATAAAGCCTTTTACATCATCGCATTTTGCTCCTAACCCTGTAAGTTGCTGACCCTGGAGTTTGATCCAAACTCTTTTTAAAATTACGTATGGAATCAATCCACATCACTTTTTCAGGTAGGTCATCCCAAATCCCAATAACTCAATGAAAATGCTTCTCCTTATTGTCCCTCTTAGATTTTTTTTCTCCAATAAGCTTGAATCAATGGCCTTTAGTTTATTGATCCATTTGCCACAGAGAATACTTCTTGTCATTTACTCCACAAAACCTTTTAGTCATCATGCTAACTTCTCCTGGTCACCTCTTAACCTTGTCTACTCTCAGAATAAGAGTTCATTCCAGCGTTTCCTTGAGATGAAAGTTATAGGACACCATACTCCTGTACCTTTGGTTAAAGTGATAAAGGAATCCTGCCCATGAGGCCTGTCCAACAGCAATTTAACACTGGGAGCAGTGTTGATGATTGAAGGCAGGACAAGACATCCACCAGTTGGATTTTAAATGTGCCTCCTGCCTTTGAATTATACATAATGGAGTGTAAAATGCAGCCTTTTGTAGCTGAAATCCCTCACATTTGCTAACACCCTGGTAAACCTCCACTATGCCATAATGTCCATACATCTTACATGTACATCTTACATGAAGTGTTGCACTAAGTATTATGAATAATTCACTAGGAGCCCAGAAAGATCTAGTGATCTCTTTGATGAGAATTTCCTCTCTTCTAAAGGCTGTGCAAATCTTTATTTTAGAGCATTGTCAGTTAGCACAAGGAAAGTATGTGATGTACAGGGGTGAGGGTGGGGATGGTGGGGGTTGCGGGGAAAGAGTGTGGGAATAGAAGACTTAGAAATAGTAAGAACTGCAGATGCTGGAGTCAGAGACAACTCAGTGTAGAGCTGGATGAACACAGCAGGCCAGGCAGCATCACAGGAGCAGGAAAGTTGACATTTCGGGTCAGGACCTTTCTTCAGAAGGCTGTAAGACAGGCGTTTTTGTGACTGCATTAACTTGTGATCCTGTATATGTGCCAATCTGAAAGGCAACACAGCCCACTGGTATAGGGGATAAGTTCTCATCAATTCAATTACTTTCCCAGGTGATTGCAGTGCACTCTCTGAAGAATCGTGGAATCACCGATAGCGACACTGACTTTTTTCTGTCATTACTATTAGAAAATCTGGCCCATAGTGGCAGCTATTGACATGGGCATAATACAAGCAAATATAATGCTTCTTCGCAAGTTAATGATTGCAAGAGTGTTAATATGTACTACAGTTTAAAATTCAGTGAAGCTTGTTATTTTTCCCTTCTTATTACTACTTTCTCACATATAATTCTAGCATTTTGAGCAAAACTTCAAAACTTGATTTCTTTTTGCTTCATTAAGTTTTTTTGCGATAAATTGTATATGATCTTTTGCATTCCTGAGAAATAAAGGAGCCTTTAGTACCAACAGTAGGGACATTCCTGCCACCAAAATATGCTCGAAAGGCAGACATATTCTATATATAAAGTCATTAATTCCTTTTTAAAACTCTAGAACCCATTTAGCTAATCTATTTGCAGTTTAACACGAGTATTGCAATTTTTAACTGATGGAAAAACTGGCCAGAAGCTATTCTATTTTTCATGTTGAGGTATTTAAAATCTGATGTTCCACTTGTAACTACATTCTAAGATTGAAGTTTACTTACATGATTGAAGAAATACTGAAGCTGTTCATTTGCCAAGTTAATACACATCTGTTCATATCTGTTCACTGCAAAGTTTTCAAATCCAAAAATATCTAGAATACCTAAAAAAATTTAATAATACAATTGTCAACCAATTAATAATTTAAACACAGGCAGATGTTTCTGATAAGTAGTATCACAAAAAAATGCACCATTCCAATTTACATTGCTACTCTTCCCAAAAGCAAGTGGGCAAAATATTCTAAATAGCAAAATAATGCCTTTTCTTTTTATTTATTCATGACATATGGGTATGGCTGGCTAGTCCATCCCTAATTGCCCTAAAGGGAGTTTAGAATGAACCACATTGCAGTATGTCTGGAGGCACATGCAGGCCGGACTGGGTAAGGATGACAGATTTCCCTCCCTGGAGGTATACTAATGAACCAGATGGGTTTTTACAACAATCAGTAGTGATTATACAGTCAAATTAGTCTTTTTTTTGCATTCCAGACTTTTACTGAATAAAAACATTACCATCTGCCATGGTGGGATTTGAACCCACATCCCCAGAATATTAGCCCGAGTCTCAGGATTACTAGTCCAGTGACATTTACACGACACTACCACCTCCCCTCACGGCCTGGCAGATTTAACTGCCTGTTAAGAACAGAAATGGTATTGACTGGTGCACCAGTAGCTTTAGAAAAGCTAGGACAATTTCTCTATGCGCAGCTTAACTCATCATGATTTAGAAATAAGAGAGACAGTATTACATACCTATCTCCTGGAGTTCTGTCGTATGCGTGTCCTCCTTTGGAGCCAGTAGCTGGTTGATTTTGCTGACTATCCAACCAAAAATTCTGCCATAAGCAACCTTAGCAATAGAGTCTCTGGCATCTATAATTATATTTAAAACAGACATTAAAAAAAACACAGCCAGTCACCCATAGTCCCAAATCAGGGTCTGTACCGAACAATATGTTGACCAACAAGGGTATTACAGATCCAACACAGAATTCAGAAACTTTTATTTATGCAGCTCTTTCACTAGTTCTGAAGGAGGGTCACTGGACCAGATTTAGCTCTGCAAATGCTGCCAGACCTGCTGAGATTTTCCAGCCATTTCTGTTTGTGTCTCTTAAGCCACCATGCCTCTAAATTCTATCTAGACCCTTCCAGATTTCCGAACTCTTTCTCCTCAAAATTCAGCTCTTTGACTAAACCTTTCCTTGCTTTCAGCTTTTGTTCTTTTCTTCAAAAAAAAAGTGAAAAACCTTTCCATGTTATCACTACATTAAAGCTACAACACTGATATCTTTTCTAACAACGTCGAAGATTGCCCAGTTTATGTCTCATACATAAAATGCGGGACAAATCTAATCCAGGCAACTACTTCCCAATTGGCCTACTCTTGATCATGAGTAAAGTGATGGAAGGTGTCATCAACAGTGCTATCAAGCAGCACCTGCTCAGTGATGCCTAGTTTGGGGGTCTACCAGGGCCACTCAACTCCTGACCTCAAACATGAACAAAAGAGCCAAATTCCAGAAGTGAGATGAGAGCGTGACTGCCATCAATATGAAGGGCATATATGAATGAGTGTGGTGTCGATAAATCCTAGCAAAACTGGAGTCAATGCAGGAAAAGCTCTGTTCGTTGGAGTCATTCCTAGCAGAGCAAGATGGTTGTTGGAGGTCAGTCATCTCAGCTCCAGGACATCTCTGGAAGAGCTCCTCAGGGTAGTGTCCTAGGCCGAAACAGCGTCAGCTGCTTCATCAGTGACCTTCCTTCCATCATAAAAGGTCAAAAATCAGGATATTTGCCAATAATTGCACAATGTTCAGCACCATTCAGATTTTCTTCAGTATCTGAGGAGTTGCAAGTCCAAATGCAGCAAAACCTAGACGAGTGTGAACATCTGCATGTTACGCTCCAGCCACTCACCATCCTGACTTGGAAACAGGTCACTGTTCCGTCAGTGTCACTGGGTCAAAAGTACTGTAACTCCATCCCTAGTGGCAATGTGAGTCTACTTGCACCAAATGGACTGCAGTGGTTAAAGAGGGTTACTCATCACCTCAAGGGCAATATATGCTAGCCCAGCCAGTGACACCACATCCCATAAAATGATTAAAAAAAAAAAACAAGTTTTCTGCCCAACAGCAGGTCAAACGCAAAACTGAAAACTCCATGGCAAAGAGCCAGGTCCCAAATCTATCCCAGCTAGTACAGGGATTGGGCCTTATGCTGTTGGCATCAAACTGATCCACAGTAGCTACGTGGCCAAATGAGCTGCATGGAGTCAATGTGTTTTTTTAACTTTCCTGTTGAAGCCTTGAGCAATGGATATTGATGCCAAAGCCTCCAATTTCTTTCCATCGCATAGCTGACCAGGAATCTCCCTCCTCTTACTGCCCATTAGTTCATGCAGGAATGATTTACACTTCACCAGGCTGGCTGCATTATGAATACACCTTCCTTATCCAGGAAGCTCTGTGAGATTTGAACCCAGAACTTCTGACTTCGAGCAAGAGGCATTACCTAGTGCACCACAAGACCTCCATTCAATACAAAATAAATGGAGCTGTTGCAGGGATTGCTGTTTTCTTTGCATCTGCAGTTGGTTTAAAACCTGTTATGCTTCTTTTCCCAGTTCTAATAATAGATCAAGTAGAAATGTCAACTCTGCCTGACCCACTGGGTGTGTCCAGTGTCTTGTTTTTAATGTCAGACTTCCAGCATCCACAGTTTGCTTTTGTTTTGTGATCCTGTCAAAGTGACTTTTGTAAATGGTTGTTGCGCATTAAGATTGTATAACCTTCAGTACGATATGCCAATTGTAATGAAAGTGGATACTAAGTGCAGTAGTAGACATGTCAAGAGACTGAGCTGTTTGGTTCTCAAGGGGTTTGACGCCAAGTTTCTGTCGTGCTAAGAGGATTTAATCAATCACTCTCCTTACTTGAGGCTTATAAGATAGACGGGATAATGAGGCTTCAGGGGTGAACTATTGTTTGTGGACTCCCAGCTCACATTGAACACCAGCAAGTTAGCAGTCCAAAAAGGCACGGCAAGAGTCACAAGTTAGGCTACTTTGTTGATGTTTATATTTGACAGCGAAGAGAGTTGCTGAAGAGGACACAACAGCAGCAATATTGTTTGATTGGTCTGCTCCCTAACACAAGGTGAACTCATCTGAAGGCATTTCTTTCAACACAAGCTAATGATTGAATCTCGGTCCTTTTCTTTTCTATATGGCTCACATTCTAATTTGCTCAAAGGATTAAATAATTGAGTAGGTAGCAGCCTTTCTTAACCAATTAAACTTTGTCAGCAATCTAGTTCAAATATATTACTAGGCTGTGCAATATTAAAACTCCTGCATTTAAACTGCAGTTTACTGCAGCTGGAAACCCTATCAAACACTGCCAGATTAAAACATTTGTTCCTACCTTCAGCTTGCTGCTTGCTGTGATATCGCTGAATAGATTCTCCTCGAGTTACCGCCATTGTACAAATCAAACACTTTAACAGTTCTTCCTCCTCAACACCAAACTGACCCTGTTGAATTTGATAGTAAAAAAAGAGTATCATTCAGGATGGTCAGATCAAATACAACAGGGATTAATTCTGCTTAGCATCAGCATTAGAATTGTTGCAGTCAGTACCAGTATAGACTGTTGCCCATCTTACTACCACCCTCCTACATATACATTCATATTTGGTAAATGTAAATTCTTGTGTAATTCATACAATTCCACATTAGCTTCTTTTTAAACATTGCTGCTGAAATTACAAAATTAATACCATCAACACATACCACTTGGCCACACAGATACAGACTTTCCACTTCACCACCCAACTTCCCATGTTCCAGCACAACTGGAGACTCCTATTCCTATGTTTCCTTTGTTCAACTGCCTTTGAAAACAATTCAACTGGCTTTGAAATATTAATGTCGTCATTTTTCATCCTGGTCCTGTCAGCATAATGCCAACATTTGTGACCCTAAATGATTGGTCTTCTAATCTTGGTCCTTCAATATTTTTTATAGGAAGAAGGTTCAAGGGCACGGCAGGGATATGCAGAGTAGACAGAAGCTATTCTAACCTTCTCCTGGCCAGCCACCTATCCTGCACCCTCCATAAAACTGAGCTTACCCAAAATTCTGCTGATGTCTAACCACACCAAATCCCATTCACCCAAACCTGTATTTGCTGACTATATTGGCTCCTAGTATGACAATCAACACAATACACTCAATTTTCAAATTCTTTGCTTTCAAGTTGCTACCTGTCCTCACCACGTAGTATCTTTGGACATTTCTCCAGCCACCTGTAACCTTCCACTTTTTCCAACTCTCTGTTTACAATGCATCGTCATGGTTGATAGTCATGCCTTCCCCTCTCAATTATTTTTATAGAATCCCTCCAGCATGGAACCAGGCCATTTGGCCCAACAAGTCCACACTGACTCTCCAAACAGTATCCCATCCAGACCCATCCCCCTACCCTATCCCTATAACATTCTATTTCCCCATGACTAACCCACCTAATCTACACACCCCTGGACACTAGGGACAGTTTAGCATGGCCAATCTACCTAACCTACACATAGAACATAGAACAGTACAGGCCCTTCGGCCCACAACGTTGTGCCGAACTTTTACCCTAATCCTAAGGTCTATCTAACCTCCACCGCTACCTTATACTATCATCCATATGCCTATCTAACAGCCGCTTAAATGCCCCTAATGAGGCCGACTCCACTACCCTCTCCGGCAATGCATTCCACGCCCCTACCACTGAGTAAAGAACCTACCTCTGATGTCTCCCCAATATCTACCTCCTTTCACTTTAAAACTAAGTCCCCTCATAAAAGCTACCTCCACCCTAGGAAAAAGTCTCTGGCTGTCCACTCTATCTATACCTCTGATCATTTTGTACACCTCTATTAAGTCACCTCGCATCCTTCGTCGCTCTAAAGAGAAAAGCCCTTGCTCTCTCAACCTTTCCTCGTAAGACCTTCCCTTCATTCCAGGCAACATCCTGGTAAACCTCCTCTGCACCTTTTCTAACACTTCCACATCTTTCCTGTAATGAGGTGACCAGAACTGGACACAATACTCCAGATGTGGCCGAATCAGGCTTTTGTGTAGCTTGAGCATAACTTCACGGCTCTTGAACTCAATCCCTCTATTAATGAAAGCTAACACACCATACGCCTTCTTAACAACTCTATCCACTTGGGTGGCAGCTCTTAGGGAACTGTGAACATGAACCCCAAGATCCCTCTGCTCCTCCACACCGCCAAGAATCTTTCCGTTAACCCTGTATTCTGCTTTCAAGTCTCACCTTCCAAAATGAATCACCTCACACTTTTCAGGTTTAAACTCCATCTGCCACTTCTCAGTCCAGCTCTGCATTCTATCAATGTCCCTTTGTAACCTAGAACAGCCCTCCGCACTGTCCACAATGTGACCCACCTTCGTATCATCCGCGAACTTGCTAATCCACCCTTCCACTCCATCCAAATCACAAATAGAAGAGGACCCCAGAACAGATCCTTGTGGTACACCACTCGTAACCGAGCACCATGTTGAATATTTTCCGTCCACTACCACCCTTTGTCTTCTAAGGGTCAGCCAATTCTGAATCCAATCTGCCACATTTGCCCCTATCCCATGCCTCCTTACCTTCTGCATGAGCCTACCATGGGGAACCTTATCAAACACCTTACTTAAATCCATGTATACCACATGCACTGCTCTACCTTCATCCATGTGTTTGGTCACCTCTTCAAAGAATTCAATAAGGTTTGAGAGGCATGATCCACCCCTCAAATCCATGCTGCACATCTTTGGACTGTGGGGGGAAACCAGAGCACCTGGAGGAAACCCACGCAGACACTGGGAGAATGTGCAAACTTCACACAGACAGTTGCCAGAGGCTGGAATTGAACCCGGGTCCCTGGCATCGTGAGGCAGCAGTGCTAACCACTGAGCCACCATGCTGTAATCTGAATTAGAATTCACCGCTTTGATAAACCTGCCCTAATGTTTCATTTAGCTTCGTGACAACTGTTTTCAGATGATGCCCTTGTGAAGCATCTTGGAAGGTTTTACTATCTTAAAGGTAGCATATAAATAAATTTGTTCCGAGAGTGTGGCAGAAAGGAAGGTTGATTTCTTTGTAAAGTGTTATGCAATTAGATATCAAACAGATGGACACAGAAAGCATCAATGATTCGCTACCAATATTATTTTATGAAGGGTTGAGAAAATTAAAAATCAGCATGTGCTGAGCAGTCACTTTGGTAAGGTCATTGTATTTTTGTTGTGTTTCTGATCGTTATTGTCCTTGCCGTGGCGCCACTGAAGTGAGTGTATATATTCATTACACTGAATACACACATACATTGTGTTCATTTGTGGACTGCTTTTGATAGCTTACTAGATAATGACAATGAAAACACTGAAGTTAAGGAAAGATACCTTGAATTCACAATGCAAAGAAAAGGATAGTTACCAGTTAACTGATATTGAATGCTTGGCTACATTTACTAAAAAAAAACTAGCTTGTTCTAGAGCCCATTTAAGTTTGTAAGGAAATTGGTGATTGTTTTGCTATCATGTCTACATCCTATAAGAAATGTTATCTTGCTAGTGGTAGAAGAAAAAAACATTTACAAAAACCCATCGTCCTTGTCTGATAACTGATTCAGAGAATCTTAATCAGCAACTTGAATGGAGTGCGAAAATTAATTAATTAATAATTCAAAAGAAAAGAACACAGACTTTAATCTACTGCTATCCTCTATTTATTGAAAACAAACAAAGGAGATGGGCATTAACAGCTTCCACCTTGTGGATGAGCGAGTGATATTTCTAATCAATGCTAAGAGAATATTACCTGATCAACGTGTTTTTAGTTCAGGTTTTGGTGTCAATCTTTATCTTTTTAGCAAAGTGAGGACAAAATTCAACAATAGGCTGAAGAATGGCAACATCCTGGTAGTTATGAGAGAAGTATTAAGGATCATGGGACAGTGGACAAATGGGGAGGAGGCCATGATCAACAGTGGGAAGCGTCACTACCTCTGGGCCTGAAACTCCAGACTGGAGTCTTCTGCCATGACTTGTTGACATTGACAGTCAACCTGTTTTTCCAGTCTGTGAATTCTTTCAATATGCCTGGTGAGACAAGGATGGCCTCCCAGACGCCCTCCTGCAGATACCTCAGCGCTTTGCCAATAACCCATGACCCAATGCTTGGAAACACGGACAAGAAAAAAGACGGACAATTGAGTGGCGTATAGGAGGGCAGATATGGCTGAAGCATCCTTGGTAAACTAGTCAGAGTTCTAGAACTGGTTGTCACAGATTCTTCTGCTCTTCCCCCTCTTGTTGCTGCCCAATGGTGGTACAAGGCCATGCCTAAAGGTGGTGAGCTTGGTAGCATCCAGCTGATGTCAGATACTAGCTTTGGGCTGGGAGTGGTACTGCAAAGTTCGTCTGAAATAATATAAACAGCAGAAGCACTATTTGCAAATGCCAATTGTTTGCTTGATAATTTCCCTAAAGGCAGATAGCTCGTGAGATACGTTGAATGCAGTCACATCCTACCAAAAGCATGAACCAAAAGAGAAGACGTGCAAGAAATTTTGATTTCAATACTGAAATAAGGATGAAGGATTCATAAAGCCAGCCCATTTCTAAAACAAAATGGAGCCATTGATTACAAAAGAGCAAAGTTGGGGAGATGGGAGCATTTTAGATGCTTCACTGAAAATTTGCAATTCCATTCTTGGTATTTCAATCTAAGCACAAGTACAATTCCCCCGATGAAACTTGCTGCATCAAAGGTAGATTTCTTAGAGGGCGGAGGTGGTACTAGAGTCATTCCATTAGGTGTACCTGCTGCAGTACCAAGGCTGGTGGTTTGGGTGCCAGAGTGCTAGTTTGCATGCCAGTAACTGAAGGAGAAGAGTTTGAAGAATTGGCAATTGCAGAAGTTGGAATTACGGTTGCAGGGACTGCAGTCAGTGCGCGTCAAGTACTGGCAGGTGATGTAGGAGTTGGAGCTGCTGTAGTATTTCAAAGGGCTTCACATGTCATCAGGTTTGTGCATTTTTTTTGATGCCTCCAATGAACGAACACATTTCTCCACTGTACTTTCACAGACCATCCACAGGCAGCTGAAATTGGCATTTGTGCTCAAAATTGCATCCCACCGCTGCCATTTGTGGGGGTGTTCTTTGGGCTGAGTACGTTGCGTAAATGAGTTCTGTTGTGCAGTTTAAGTGGATTGGCCAAGATAAATTGGCCCATAATGTCTAGCGATATGCAATTAAGTGGATCAGCCATGGTAAATGTGGTGTTACAGGGATAGGTCAGGGTGATATGCTCTTTCTGGCAGTACAGTGGCTCAGTGGTTAGCATTGCTGCTAAACAGCACCAGGGACCTGGGTTCGATTCCACCCACGGGCGACTGTCTACATGGTGTTTGCACATTCTCCCCGCGTCCGTGTGGGTTTCCTCCGGGTGCTCCGGTTTCCTCCCACAATCCAAAGATGTGCAGGTTAGGTGGATTGGCCATGCTAAATTGCCCGTAGTGTTCAGGGATGTATAGATTAGGTGGGTTATAGGGAGATGGGTCTGGGTGGGATGCTCCGAGGGTCAGTGTGGACTTTTGGGCTGAAGAGCCTGTTTCCACACTGGAGGGATTCTATGAGTATTTCCTGATTTAACGTATGTAAAAAGTCAGTTATTATTATAGAGTAAACACCATCCTCACATGAGGGAAATTCACATTCCTTTAGTTTCTTTGCTTTAATTCAGCTGAATTCCATATCAAACAGAAACTTACTGCTGCAGCTTTCAGCCATCCCTTTGACTGATCTGTTACTTTAAGGATTCCATTCTCTTGAGGCTCATAAATAATATTGCCTAATGATAGGATTCCTGCCAGTATTGTCATCATGTCGACCTGCTCCTATAACAAAAATGGTGAAGGAGAGTCAGATTATTTTTAAACTTGGCAAAATGGTACAAGGTAACACCTTCCAAAACAATCCAATATGATGTTAAATAGATTGCTGTTACTGTGATTAGTTATGGTACACATTGGCATGGAGTTTAATTCTCATTGTAGTATAAAGTAAAGTGACATTAATCTTCCAAATGTTCTATTATAGCCACTTTCAGTTGCAGTAATAAATAAATTAACGCTTTTGGCACATCTTTACACTTAAAAACATTTAATACACTCCAGCTCCATGTTAGTTTGTTGCTTTGGGAAATTGTGGAAATAAGAAAAAGGCAATTTTGACCAACAAATGTGCTTAAGTTTAGAATTAAACAAATCAAACATTTGGTCCATATCAACCTATTCCCTCTTTCTGCACAACTATAAGGCTTTCTCTTAGGACAAATTGCTGAAAAATTACAACTCCGAGTGGGAGAGGGGGAGTGAGTGAGAGGGAGCAGGAGCGTGATTGGAGAACATTCATTTCTCTCACTTCCTTTCAGTTCTTGTCACACAGTTACCCTTTCAAATGAAGAAAGCTGAAAGCTCAGGTTATTCTCAGCACGAGCCCACAATGGGTAGGACAGCTTAAGTTAAATTTTAATGGCTTAGGAGCTTATGATAATTACATCCAAGTACATTAAGCACAATTAACATAAACCATTTTTGAATAGTATGCAAACTTGTTGATATTTTATGTACTTATGTCAGGCTATCACATGAAGGTCGCTCAAAATTTAAATATGCCTTGGTTTTACACTTGTGTTAAAAGGTAGCCAGTTGTGAGGTGGACCAATAACCTGAGCTAGAAACTGTGTGGTAGGAAGATGTAATTACTCAGGGAGAAGAATTCTGACCAAAGACATCCTTTCTGGGCAATACAAGGATAGGGCGCGAGCAGGTCACTGACAGGCTAACCACCATTACACAAGTCACATCCATTACAGCAAGAGATAGTAAGAACTGCTGATACTGGAGTCGGGGACAACAGTGTGGAGCTGGAGGAACACAGCAGACCAGGCAGCATCAGAGGAGCAGGAAAGTTGACATTTCGGGTCAGGGACCCTTCACCTGTCAGTAGGTGACCACATGTAGGTGCTCTTACATAACAATAGTGAGATCAACAACTCAATTGAATGATCTTATTTAAGGCATTGCCTTACATGACAAGGGACTAGGATCAGTAAGAGAGCCACAGGCCTCTAGGATATCACTGCTGCATGACTTCTTCAGTCACTGGAAGAAAAATGGAGTATTTGTGAAAACGTAGCCACTTCGTAATGAGCTCATGTAGACAGGATCTCATCAAAAAACTGATGTTGTGGGCACATGACATTACTTAGGGATTTAATAAAGGATTAACACTTGCAGTCAAAATTGCACCAAAAGCTTTTTTTCATGCTATTGATTCTAAGTGTTGGGTAAGGATCTCAAGAGTATAGTGTGACCCCTGCTTCTGAGTCTTACAGATTTCTGTAACATTAAGACTATACTTGAATCCAAAAATCACTTCTAATCAAAATGTCTGTTAATTCCAGAGATACCAAGGTGTAGAGCTGAATGAACACAGCAGACCAAGCAGCATCAGAGGAGCAGGAAGGCTGACGTTTCGG